GTGTTGGGGACAGGGACCCCATAGGGCCTGGAGGGTCCTCTACTGGGACAAGGACCCCACAGGGCGCTGACACTGTCCCCCATAGGGTTTGGGGGGCTCCTGGGGGGGACACAGACCCACCCCCAGGGGGTGGGAGGGGGTCCGTGGGGTGTTGGGGGCACAGGCCCCATAGGGCCTGGGGGGTCTTCTGTTGGGACAAGGACCCCATAGGGCACTGACACTGTCCCCCGTAGGGTTTGGGGGGTTCCTGGGGGAACCCAGACCCCCTTGTGGGGTGGTGGGGGTCCCCGGGGTGTTGGGGACAGGGACACCGACCCCTCCAGGGGGTGGCGGACGCCCCTGGGATCAGCCTCACCGCAGCTTCCAGGTGTTTCCCTGTGCCAGAGGTGCCAAATTGTCAGTCCGTCCCAACACCTGGGAAATAATAATAATGTTATTATCACCTTCACTTCATCCTAAAACTCATTTATTTTAAAAATGAGGTAAAATAAGGCAAGGGGAACCGAGAGTTTGGCGGTGCAGGATAGAATCATAGACGCTGGCCGCGGAGGGGTTTAGGAGGCGTTTCTAATTAACCCACAGAACTATACGAAATCTCCACACACTTTATTAAAGATATCGCCGAGACGCTATAAATAAAACCACCTTCGTCGCTCAAACAACAATCCCGGGGCAATTACACGGCAAAACCAAAAAAAGAAATGAAATCGCCAGGCTCGTTCTATTCTTATTTCTCCTGATATTCGAGGAGTCGGGCAGGCAGGTGGGTTTTCGGTGCCCACTCCCCGTCCCGCCTCGCCTGCGGTCGGAAAAGCAGCGGCGGGGGAGCGGGGATGTTTTATCCAGCTCCTTTAACAACCCGAGGCACGTTAAATAGTTTTAATCCCCTGTAGAAGGGCAAAAAAAAAGGGATTTTGTCCAAATTATGGAGGATTTTGAGGAGGAAAAGAGAGCGGGGCGTGCACAGTTAGGTGGTCGGTGTGGAGCCGGGCTGGAGGAGCCTCAGGAGGAGGTGTTTTTTGGGGGGTGGAGGCCCTTGGCCAGGTCCCAGCGGACCTTCCAACGCAGGGCAGCTCGTTTCTTTTCGGTGGGCACGGCGTAAGCGTTGGGGACGTAGAGGTGGTGCGGTTTGCTGGGGAGCTCGGGCCGGAAGAGCATCTGTTCCCTGATAAGCCAGCGCAGTTCTTGCCGCTGATCCTCTCCCGGGATTCGGAATTTTTCCCATTCTCGTTTATATTCAAAATATTTAGCCACTCGGTCGGTTTTGCCCCGGTTACGGCCCAACGGCTCAAACCGGGGGGGAATGAAGGATTTGGGTTGCCCCGCCGCAGCGGCGTACTGAGAAGCAGGAGGGCTCTGGCTCCCAAAATCCTCGAGGAGAAAGGGAGGACTGTCCCCACAGGGCCACCGGCGAGGGGAGGATTCATCGGGGGAGCTGCTGCTCGTCTCGATTTCCCCCTCGGAGATGCTGTCTTCCGGATCGGTCCGTAGCTGAAGCAGTTTCTGCCTCAGGCTCCGAATTTCGGCCTCGCTCTCCGACTCGCTGGTGACCGACTCATCCGAGACCTCTACCCCTCCGTCGGGTCTGCGCCTCAGCACCTTCCTTTTCATTACCAACCGCCTGGGTCCCCTCCGGTCCCCGGAAAACGTAGGGGGGGTTGGCTGCACCCCCAAAGCCAGGGAGGCCTCAGCGTAGGGATCGGCGCGCTCCTGGTTGCCTCCTTCCTGGGCGTACAGCTGGCTCAGCTCCTCCTCGTCCTCCGCTCCCATCGCCTCCTCCATAATTTCCGCCAAACTGGGCGAATCCTGCAAAAAAAACCCCCAAAACCCACCACAGTTAATTTTTTTTTGCAGCACGTTGGAGCTGGCTAAAGATATAAAGGGGGTCTGACTCTCATCTCGGGCTGAGGGGTGTCGATTTAGGTTGTGGTTAATCAGATGAGGGGACTGGGAGTGCTAAATCACCTGCCATCGGCAGAAGGCTCCGTCCCTACGGCAAATGGAAACGCCCCCTGCGAGGCAACCCCTAAATTCCTGCTTGAAAACGATGCTAAAATGAATTACATCATCTAGGAAGTACTAACGGGATGATGGGCAAACACTAGAGGTGTATAACGATTTTCCCCTTGTACCTCTTCTTTTAGAAACACGGTACCTAGTCCTGATTTATAGGGAGAGGGTGTTTTACTTCCGCAGAGGAGGAGAAGGCTGAGCGCAGTGCCCATAGGTGCTTCTGTCGTTGGCTCTCAAAGCCCAAAGGCTGTTGGAGTCCGCTCGAACCTCAAGATCTGCGGCAAAAAGGGATGCGGAGACGGTTTTCGCTCCCTCCGCAGGTTTGGGATATCTTTAAGGGTTGGAAAAAGGCAAGTTTTAGGTTTGGGATATCTTTAAGGGTTGGAAAAAGGCAAGTTTTGGGTTTGGGATATCTGTAAGGGTTGGAAAAAGGCAAGTTTTAGGTTTGGGATATCTTTAAGGGTTGGAAAAAGGCAAGTTTTAAGCGTGCCGTTAGGAAATGTTGGAGCAGATGGTGCGGCGAGATGAATGGCAGCCGTTAGCGGGCTGTCTGAAGTGTTGATGCTGGCTGAGCGCGGTGCGAAAATGGAAAGGGCTCCGTGACGGCTCCGGCGCGGATAGCAAAAGGCTAGCCGGGAACGTGCTGCCACCGCGCCTGGGCTGACGGAGCAGATCCCATCGTGCCGCAGCGGTGGTGGAGGGAAGAGTGATTAAAAAGTGCGCAAAAAAAGAGCCTTGAGTAAGATGAGGCTGTCCGAGCTAAGCCCCTTGGGCCCTTCCCGTGCTCTGCTAGGAACATCAAGGGGTTATAAAAATAAAGAATTACTCCGCAGATAATAATTATTTTACAGAGCAAGCCTCTCGGTGTAGAGAAAAGCCATAATAAAATGCAAAACCCCAATTTCCTTCTTTCTCTGCAGACCCCGAGCAACTAATTAAGGCTCCAAGAGAGCGGCTATGGCCGAAGGGAGCGCAGTTACTGACCAAGAGCGACTCCTGAGGAGGGTGCAGGAGCTGGAAGAGGAGGTGAAGCGGCTACAAGAGAAGCTCCGAGAGGAGAAGGAGGGCGCTGGGAGAAGAGAGGCTCCTCCAGCCCCTGGGAAAACCAAGAAACGCCAACAACGGCCGTTTGATTTTGGCGCTTACGGCCGCAGGCACGTGGCGTTGAAGATCGCCTACCTGGGCTGGGGCTACCAGGGGTTTGCCAGCCAGGAGAACACCAGCAACACCATCGAGGAGAAGCTGTTTGAGGCCTTGAAGAAGACGCGGCTGGTAGACGACAGACAGACCTCCAACTACCACCGCTGCGGGCGGACGGACAAAGGAGTCAGCGCCTTTGGACAGGTCAGGATCCCCCTGAGGCTTTCCCGGATCTTGGGGCTCCTCTGTGGGATGGAGATCCGGTGGGATTAACGTCCCTCAGCGACAGCACAGGTTGGCTTTGTTTTTTAAAAGCCTTTTAAATCTGAAAGCGAGCCTGGCGATGGCTTCCTGCGTGCAGAATGATGGGTTTAGACCTTCAAAGTGTTGATTAGTGCTAGCTTTTTTCCATATTAGTGCTCCTTTTTTCCATATTAGTGCTCCTTTTTTCCATATTAGTGCTCCTTTTTTCCATATTAGTGCTCTCTTTTTTTTTTCCAGGGGGCTGTTTTGAGAGGATGTAATGCATTCTAGGCCACAGCTTCCCCAGTAGCTCAGCGCTGCCAACAAAAAGGGGAGATGCCCCTTCCTTGGCAGAGCCCTGTCAGCTGATTTGACTCACTAACCCCACAAAAAAAAGCCAAAAAATAAATCCAGGAGTTGGATAGCTTCCCACGGAGTCAGGCAGCTGAATTCCTGCACAGAAGGGTCCGAGGGGAGCTGCAGCTAGCGGAAGGGAGCGTGGGAGTGGGAGCTGGAGGAAGGGGAGCGAGCTGGCCGGCTGGGTGGGCACGGAGCCATCGGGGAAAGCACAGCCCTTCCCACGCCGCCATGGCTTCGCTCTCGGGCCGGTCTCTCCTTCCCTGCCGGCTCGGGAAGCGGAGCTGGCTTAGCTTTTGCCTCGTCGGGGTGGTTTTGGCTCGGATGGGCGGTCTGCTCTCCTTCACAAGATGAGCCGCGTGGTTATAAGGGCATGGGCCGCCTTTTCTTGCGCCGTGTAAAGCACGCAGGCACCCGCGGCGTTAATTAACCAGGTGTCCCAGCCAGCCAGGCTGTTACTGCGGTCAAGTCATCACCTCCAGCAAAAAGAAAAGAGGAAAAAAAAAAAAAAAGCAGCACATTATATCCTAAAAACAGTGACTAAAGTTGAAGCTGTTTCGAGATCATGCTACGTAGGCAGTCTGCAACTTTCTCTGTTTTATTAAAGGAATCCGTAGCATCTGCTAGGAACCTTAGCATAGGCACTTGCAGCTCTACCCGCAGGAAGGAGTGGTGAGATCGCCTGATTTAAGACACCTTCATCTGTAGGAGATCCTGAATTTATTTCACAGCGGTGTAGGAAGTCTTGGCTTGACACGCCGAATATGCCCATCTGCCATCTAATCCTGGCTTCCCTCATTTTGCAGGTGATTTCGCTAGATCTCCGCTCGAACCTGTCGGAGGGGAAGAAGCTAAATGGCCACCAGGGTGACTCGGAAGGAAAGAACGAGGGGGAGGAGGAGCTCCGCTACACCCATATTCTGAACAGGGTGCTCCCGCCCGACATCCGAGTGCTGGCCTGGGCTCCCGTGGAGCCCGATTTCAGTGCCCGGTTCAGCTGCCTGAAGAGGACCTATCGCTACTTCTTCCCCTGCGCCCACCTGGACGTGGCCCTCATGAACGCCGCGGCCCAGAGGTACGTGGGAACCCACGATTTCCGTAACTTGTGTAAAATGGACGTCGCCAACGGGGTGGTCAACTTCCAGAGAACGATCCTCAGCGCCGGAGTGACGTGGGTGGAGAGAGGAGGAGAAAGCGGGCTGCAGGATCCCTTCCGTCTGTGCCAGTTTGAAGTGACGGGTCAGGCGTTCCTGTATCACCAAGTCCGCTGCATGATGGCCATCCTCTTCCTCATCGGGCAGAAGATGGAGAGGCCGGAGATCATCGATGAGCTGCTGGATGTGGAGAAGAACCCCCGAAAACCGCAGTACAGGTACAGAGAGCTCGGGGAAAAACCTCCCGGGCTGTTTCGCTAAGCGATTGCTGTGTGCAAAGCGTCGCTGGCAAACCACTTCTCTGCCAGCCTGCGAAGCAGTCTCTCACAATATGGAAGCGAGCTGCCAGCGGCCTCTCTGGGAGGTATCCTTAAGGATCCTGGTTTTCTTGCTCTTGGACAAGCTTTTGATGGCTTTAGTCCTTGGTGTTTGGTTAAAACTAACTCACATTTTAGCAGAAAAAAGAGTTTGGGAAAAGACAGGGCTGGTTTGGGCGGAGAGGACAGGCTGATGCGCTGTTGCCTGAGCCTTTTTTTGGTCACAGCATCCCTCCAGGCGGCGACAGGTAACGCCTTCTCTTTTTCCCCTAGCATGGCAGTGGAGTTTCCCCTCGTCCTGTACGACTGCGAGTTTGAAAACCTTCAGTGGCTCTACGACCGAGAAGTGCAGGAGTTCAACATTACCCACCTGCAGCAGCTCTGGGCCAACCACGCAGTCAAAACTCAAGTGCTGCGTAACATGTTACAAGGGTTAGATGCTGCTCCTGGAGAAAGTAAGGGATGGTTTTGGGGCAATACCTTGGGATGGGAGTAACCAGCTTTAAAAAACAAAGAACGAAGGAAAGGGGTAATTCAACAGATTGTTCAAACCACCGGTATTTTGTCCGATTCTGTCGCAGGCCCGGAGAACACCACGACCGTCCTCTGGGGAGATACGAAGCCTCCGCTCTGCTGCCAGCTCAGCGGCTTCGTGGAAGGCGTCCAAGCCCGCACCTACAAGCCTTTACTGGCCCGCCCCAAGTGCGAGGGGCTGGAGGCCCGCATCCGTCACTTTGTGAGGAGGGGCCGCATCGAACCCCCCCAGGGCCTGGAGCTTGGGGGGGACGGGGACGAGCAGCCCCCCGAGACCAAGGGGGGCCACCGCCGCCATGCCCCGGGGAGCGGCGGCTGGCGCACGGAGCCA